GAGGTTTCCTTTTTTCCAGGAACTTTTCCTGAGTGGATTATGATTCAGAGAATGCTTGCGCTCCCCCTCCCCACCCCTCCCCAGGTTTCAGGTTTTCATCCCCTAAACCAACCTTCGGGTGTGGAGAGGTTTTGCTCCGGACTAGCTCCTCCCTCATGGGAATGTGGGTGGGCCGCACAGAGCAAGATCCTTTGTGAGAGACTAGAGTGTGAGCACAGGTGTGGGAGGGATGGAGCTCAGCCCGAAAGGAGAAGCTTACTCACAGAGTGGTGGGGACCTGGAGGAACTCTTAGGTTCCAGCCAGAGTGGGGGTAGGGGGCAGGCTTCAGACAGCTGGGACTGGAAGCCTACCAGGCTGGCCAGGTGAGGGGTGGGAGAGGTGTCCAGGAAAAGGGAAGCTGGGTGCGGGAAGTCATTCATTTTGCCTGATGTGGAGGATGCAAGAAGCGGAGTGTGGGGAAATTAGATTTGAGAGGTCAGCTGGATCCACATCATGGGCACCTTGAGCGTCAGACTGGGAAGTAGAGGTTATGTGGTGGGACAGGAGGAACCACAGGAAAGGTCGTGAACAGCAGTGTTGGTGAGGGTGGGACATGATGAAAACTTGTGAACAACCCTCCCCACCATGTCCTCGTCCTGCTGCTATTCAAGACAAACTTTCCTATCTTTTGGGTTCACCTGCTCCACTTCCAGACAGGGATGCCCTTTTCCTCCCCTAGGCTCTGTCTTGCTCCAGCACATGCTTGATTTTCTCTTTCAGGAAGTCTCTCCTGTCCCTGGCTCCTAGAGGTGGGAATCCCAGCCCCCCTTCCCCGGATCCCTCCTCTACTTCTCTTCTTTCCTGCACTCACACCCTGGCATTAACCCTGCGACCCAGGGCTGGGGCGGGGAGGAGAGGAAGGACTCATGGTTCACCGATCCCGGGACAGAGGCAGCCTCTGGGTCATAGGCAAGGGAGGGCAGAGTGGCCTTGTCAAGTCGGGGGCAGTGGGTAAGCCAGATCCAACAGGGGCTGCCTGAAGCTCCCAGACCTCTACTCACAGGTGCGTGGGTGTGGACGGACGGGAAAGAAATGTCCGCCACGCTGGGTCCACCAGAAAGGCTTCGTAATATCTAAACCAAAGCCCCTCTCTCTGCTATCCTCCCCACGGACCTAGGCGACTCCTAACAGCCCTATGAGAATGGAAGCATTTTCTCACTTTCTTCCATACCTTGTTAGATGCCCGAGTTTCATAATTAAGATGGAAGGGGCGTGATCTGGTTGTAGCGATGGGACAGGATGGGTTCTGGTTATTGCATGACGTGAGGCCCCCAGCCCTCCATTCCTTCATTCTTTCCACGACAGGAATGAGGCACCTATCAAGCACCAGATATTGTGTTAGAAGTTGAGGATATAGCTTCAAGGAAGCTAGCCTTTGCTCGGGGAAGCTGACAGTCTGTGGGGGGATTTGGAGGAATTAACGTAATTACGTGAACGGTACAGGGTGATGGTGGTAGGAAGGACGCATACAAGAGGCAGTGAGATGGACAGTAGGGACTGAGACTGTTCTGGGACTTCAGTAAGGTCAGTAAGGCTGCTCTGAGGAAATCAATCCATTGCTGTGGAGAGGGGAAGGGGCAAGCATTTGAAGATCCGATAGGAGGGTGCTGATGGCTGGGGGGGTGGGTGGGTGGTAAAAGAATGGGGTGGGGGATGGGCAGGCAGCTGTGTAAGAGTCCGGGCACATGGGAAATGTCGGCTCATTGGGGGAGAAAAAGAATGCCCTAGTGGCTGGAGCAGATGGGGCAAACCAGAGACCAGGCTGTGGAGCCAGGCGGGCACCAGAGGATGCCTGGCTTCCTTTGATCAGTGGGCACGGGTCCTTGTGTGGAGAAGTTGGTGGGAGGCAGGAGAGGGCTACAGAGCCACACTCGGGAGAACTGCCTCTGTGGAGGAGGGTAAGGGAGGAATGAGGGCAGGGCCCGTCTTATGGGGGCTGTAAGGATGGGTGCAGGGGAAGGGCCATATTCAAGGGCACAGACCAGGGCCCTAGCCAGAGCGGCCAGGAAGAGGAGAAGCCGTGAACCTCAGGCTTCCATGTGCCAGAGTAGGTACACCACAGAATCCTCAGAAGTCCTGGCATGAGTGGGAGGAGACGTCACACCCTGGAAGAGAAAGCATGTCCCTCTTAGTCCACAGGGTTGGGGGTGGAGTTCTCTTCCACCGTTTAGAAGCTGGCCGACTTGGGACACATCTCATGGTCTCTGACTCTGTCTCAGCAGTGTGCAGAGTCATCCAGGGCACTTGTGAAGTTTGAGGGGAAAAGCTCAGGGTAGACAGACAGGGAGAGGCTCCTCCTTGAGCTCTGGATGTGCCCACCTCACCTCCTTAGGAACCCGTTCCGTACAGCAGCCCCTGCTCTCTCCTGCTTAGTTCACTGTGATCCTCTCTTGGCTTTCTCTTTTCAACATACAGTCATCTTAAAAATAAACAAACAAAATGTGTGTGTTATTCCTTTCTAGCTTCTTTCCAACCCTTTAACAAGCCAGCTTTTGAAAAAACTACCTCGCTATCCTGGTCTTACCTGATGTTCCTCATGCCCTGAATTGTTCCCACCACCATCCCTGGGACAGAAACAGTCCTTGCCAAGGTGCTCAAATACAATCTCCACTTCGCAGCCTGTGGGCCTGTGGCGCTGCTAACTTCTTACCCTTTGCGCTGCTGGGACGCTCTCTTGCTCCTTCTCCCCTCCCTTCCCACCCTCTCTGTATGGGCCACCCTTCACCCCTCCCCCTTTGACTCACCTCTCCTTGTCCCTTCACTGTTGCCCAGTGTTCTATTCTTAGCCCTTTCCTCCTTTCCTCACATACACTCTGTGTGACTCATTCTTGGAGCCACACTTACGACTCCCACCTCTTCATTCCAGCCTTGACCCATTGCCTGAATGTGAATACCCACCGGGGAGGTAGTGAAACCTATCAAACAGAGCTCTGGGCGGGGTGCTTTTACAGGCTCCTTGTGCTTCCCCCTCTCTCTGCATCCGTAGGCCCATCCCTCGGGTTGCCTGTGCACAGCAAGCTCTCCCGAGCCAGACTTTGAGCTGTGTGGTGTGGGGGCCATGTTTAATTTGTCTGTGCACCATCCCCAACCTGAATCAAAATGCCTAACACAGTAAGAAGGCAGTGTTTGTTTTTTTTTTTTTTTTAATGGAGTGAGAATAAATGTGTGGAGCTACATGCTTTCAGAATTTGGGCTGAAGGCATGTGGAGCTGGTAGACTATGCTTAGATTAATCTTTTGGAAGCTGGGAATTTTACTTATCTACCCAGCCACTTGATGTACACTTTGCTGGAGTATCAATGGGGTTTATTAAGTGAACCTAGCCTGATAGCTCCCTCTGTCTTGGAAGGTGGGCTTGTGCCTGTAGTGTAAAAGTCTGGTGATTTAGGCCATAGAAGCTTCCTTGAGTTTGGAAAGAGAGCTGGCATGTTCTCAAAGGTGTGGAGAGTCTCTTTGGGGCTCCATGGTGAAAAGGGCTGGCACTGGGGCCCGAATTCCTAAGTGGTCCATGGTGGGACTCCCCAGGAAGGGCACTGGGGACAGGTTAAGATATGGGAATATTTTGCTTGAGAGAGAATGTTGCTACTGTGTTTAACTGATGGCTTCCAGCAGGGTCTTCAGAAGGAAGGGTCAGCTAGTTCCTGTCGTTCAGGGTGGGAATAAAGTTGGGAGTCAGGGGGTGAATCAAATCTCATATCAAAGGTTGCAGGGAGGCCATTGTGGGGAGGAGCAGGGAGAATTCAGAGGAAGGTAGGGGTGGGGGGGGTTCCAGTCCTTCTTCAGGTACTGGGCACTGGCATCAAAGAGGTAAGTGTGACAGGGTTTCTACCCTGTGGAGCTCACCGTCCAGGCTTGGTAATAAAGTTAAACTAAAGAGTCTGATATTAATATGGCCTATAGTGAGGAGAACCAAGAAGAGGAAAAAACATGAAGGTCTAAAGTAGTGTAGGGCTGCTGGGGGGAGAAAAGTAGAAGTGTTAGATGAAATGCTCAGAGGCATACGGGCAGGAGAATGAGGGATAGATGGTGCTACATTCCCGGAGATCTGAAACCAACTGCAGAAGAGGGTCAGAGATGGGAGTGGCTCAGGTTGCAGGAGAGCACGGGTGTGTGTGTGTGTGTGTGTGTGTGTGTGTGTGTGTGTGTGTGTGTGT